GTTTTGTACAACTAATTAAAGATGATTTAAATATTGTATATTTAAATCATCATATTCATAAAATAGATTAAATCAATATAAATAAAATGATATATAACGAATAATAATCTGCAAATTATCTTATATATATGTATATTTTTATAAAAAAGTATTTGTATTTAAAAACAGTAGTAGAAACATCGGCACTATCAGCGAACATCGATTTTTTTAAATGCTTTTAGCACATTTAAAAGTTCATAAAACTGCCATAAAACTGCACGACGGTTTTGACGAACCCGTTGTATCCCACGCCACAAACCGAAATATTGGTATGCGTACACAGAAAACGCATTTGAATCTATCTAAACGGAAAAATATGCGTGTGCGAACGAAAAAAAAAGGAAATAAAACACAGGAAATCTGCGATTGTGTCGCGCAGCGATAATATAGCCACGCGAGAAAACGGAAATACTGGAGTAATAATAAAAATATAAGATTATGGTTCTTTTTATGAGAAGCAAGTATCCAAAATAATGTGGATGAATTTTAAGATATACAATTTAATTTAATATTTATTAAGCAATTTTGATCATAAAAGATATGATTTATTTTTATATATCTCGAATTAATAATATACATATATATATATGTTCTGTCATGCTACACTTATTATATAATTTGTTTATATATCCATATGTATCTCCAAACAAGCGCATTCGATAACTTCAGCTTAGTTTACTTGATTTTGTAAGTTTTGCAGTTTGTTCATGTGACAACGACACAAATATGTCAGAATCGATTAATTGGAACTTACTTGCTTCTCAGAGTTGTCCCGGCGACCGACCAGTCAGCCGGTCGACGGGATGAAATATGACAGTCGTTGGCCATGCCACGCCCAGTTTATCATATTTCTTGAAGTGCATTATCATAATAGCATCGTGCATGAGATCGGTCGCTACGTCGTTCCGTCGATGACACGCCACGTTCCAAACTCGGGCGGAGATCGATGCGACCGGCGCGACACGTCGCAACGCCTCCCCATCAGGATTTAAGAGCAAACGTCTATATTTAACTCTTATGATGAGAGCTCTTTAAGAGCTCTTTAAGGACTTTTTGTCAAGGTGATTCGAGTTCTTATACCTTTCCCTTAAGCTTTCCATTATGAGTATAGTATATCTGAGATATATTGTACTTACGTGTACAGTAAAACTAAAATGTACATTACCTTGATATGATGCATCGTTAGCTCTGCGTTGATTAAATTTATTGATGATCGCCATTTGAATAAAATAATTGTCATGTATATCAGTCATATACAGAGAGAAATATTCTAGAGATGTTTCTTCTATTTTATTTTATTTTATTTATTTATTTCTTCTCTTTTATTTAGATTGTTATAAAATACGAGTTTCTTTATGATCGTTGAAAAATGAATAATAAGAATAGTTGAAATATTTTCAAGTATATGTGAAAAGGAAAAAATGAAAAAAATTTGATTTAATTGTAAATTACTCATTGCATAATTGGATAGATATACTGAATAAGTAAGAAAATAAATATAAGTTTAAAAATGTAATTTGTGCTGTAGCTATAAAATGCTTTGCCCTATTCTTATAAAATGTTAGGAGAAAGAAAGAGTTATCTGAAATATCTTGCATATTATGTAAAATAAACATTATGAATATTAAAATTGTGCTACAGAGTCGATTATAATATTATGTCACGTTATGAAACCTTTACAATGCGTATGCGCATACTAATGACATTAATATTTAAGGGTTTACCGCATAACGAGGGCATACTGAATGTGAGGTTTCTTTATCGCTTCCGTTGCATTAAAACTCTTACGTAAAGTTCTTGTAAATGTTTAAACTTCACTAAAAATTACTTGCAGAAATTTTTGTGACAATTTTAATTTGTGTAAAACAGGATATGGTTAAAATATAACATTAGTTAACAAACTGTCAACGAATGTGTACCGTATTCACATTAAAAATGAAAAATAAAATTTTAAAAATCCAGAAAAAAGATATGTAAATAACTGGAAATTTCTTTATTATTCTTTATTATAAATTAATTTTTATATACTGCTCTTAATAATGTTTCTAAATGCACATATTCATGAAACTCATAACTTCACGCACAAAGGAATTATTCTAATGTATGTTACCGATAAACATAAATATATCACGTTGACGATCGTGCAATATTGCTATTCGATTCATATTAATTTTAATATTACTTTACTCTACTTTATTTTTAAAAAGATCAAGTTTTTAATCAAATTTTATTGATTGAAATTTTTATAGATTCATGACGAAATTAACTAAAATAATTAAAAAGTAAGTTCTATATTAATTTTTATATTTTTAAATATTTTTTAAAATTAATTAAAAATCATTTATATAATCTATCATTCCTTAAGTAATTGATCACTTGACTTCAGTTGAAGCGAAGTTTAACTACAAAGTTCTACAATATAGACGGATGAGCTATAAAAGATTAGGATCAGCGCACGATTGTAAGATGAAGTTAACCATACATAATTAAAAAAAATTAACGTCCTTTATTCAATAAATTAAATAAAATCTATAATTTGAAAAATGCTTTTTCATATTTTTTAATTTATACTTCATAATTTACTTTATAATTTATTTTTGCAGATGTAATCCATATCGAAAGATCTTATTAAAAGTTATTTAAAACCTAATCTATTTTAACTCATCCATTTTGAGGCATCGGACCTACAATTCTACTATCTACAATTTCCTACCTAGAATTTCTACAAATCCGTTACTCTAAAATTAAATAAAAATTTATCACTCACCATCACTGATGCACAACAGAAGAGTTATTGAAATCGAACTTACGTTATCTCTGTAACATATAAATATAAAATTCAAATTATAATAATGCCGAAAGTAATTAATATTTAAAGAAATTACTACTATATTATTATAATTTTATATAATCTTGAAATATAAAATAGAAACACTTTTATAAGATTAACATCAAAATTTTTCTCATTGAATCTCATCTCTTTTGAATCATTCAAATAAATGAACCGAATTAATGAGTATATATGTGAGTGCCATGTATGTATGCCATTTATAATAATCAATGAACGAATAATGATGTTCACCTTGAGGTTTCTCCGTCAGTGTTCCATGCCTCCTCGAGACCTCCTCCTCTCAGGTTGTCAAAATCCGTTGATCAACACGCACGACACTTTTAACGACACTCCCGCACTTGCATAAGTGATACTTTTAACGAAATCGAGAACTCGGACTTACGCGAAAACGCGATGACAACGCGAAAACCGATCCGTTTTGGGTACTTGGCTTCCCATTCAGGATAAACCTTTAGAATAAATAATCTTAAAGGATTAACCATCCAGGTACTAGGCCCTCCCACCACGTCAAGGTGTACCCTCGGGGGGATTGTTGTATTATATACAATTTTGTAGTATAATACAATATATAATACATGTAGAATCGTCAAAACGAAAGATTAAAATAATGAAAAGTCATGAATAACCATTGTTACTTAATAATTAATGTATTACTCGCATTTTAGGAAAACTTAGGCTATCGGAAAAATATATTTGATTTCAAGTATTATTAAAGAAGCAATTAACATCCGATCGATTTTCGATTTTTTCACGAATGTTAATTATTTCTCTAATAATACTTGAAATCAAATATATTTTTCCGACAGCCCAAGTTTTTCTAAAATGCGAGTATACATTAATTATTAAGTAACAATGGTTATATCATGATTTTTCATTATTTTAATCTTTCGTTTTATATTTGTAAAACCCTCGATACTATACCGAAACTATGAAAATTTTTAAATGATATGTCTTTTAGAGAGGATAGTTTTTTTACATTTATTATTATTGAATTATTATGTTCACTTTTGCATTCTTTGTATATTAACTTATTGACTTTCACGCAAAAGTATAATTTAAAAATTTAATTGAAAACATTTACTTGGATAAAAATTGAACACCCTTCTTGATTTCGTTTCATAATAGATCAATTAACGAAAAACGTAAAGCTATGGCTCGCAACATAAGGATTAAATGTACCAGCATGTCGGATGGGTTTATAGTGACGAAAGAGCGGATAGGGGAACGAAAAAGTCAGCTACCTTTCTTTTTAATGCAGAACGCGTTGGTATAAGAAAGATACACGAGGGCGAGATAGAAGCAGTGCAGGTGGGGATTTAATCAACTTTCCTTTTTGTCTCATAAATCTTCGTAGACGCGGCATCTTCGCCCATGCGAATCGCCCTCTCGATTTTTTATCAGACGCGGTGCGAATGCGTATTCTTTAAAACCTACTGCTAATATTTCTTTTCTTTCCTCTTTTTCTTTTTATTATTTCGAAAAAGCGTAATTACGATCATTGCACTTTTACGCACCAAACTATATAAATATAATTAAATATATATTTTGGTATATTATGGACTTTAAATGCAGAAATGTGTACGTGCTGCATATATAATTATATCGAACATGAATGTCAAATCTAATTATTTGTTTTTTTTCTGATTAAAAAGCTAATATCAAAACTTCTAAAGTAATAAAAATAAAATATATTTATGTTTATAGAGTTTTTAATATCTAATACTCGATGTTCGATAAGAAATTTCTGTTCATGTATTTACTGTAGAAAGGAAATTGATAACTGCAATTTTTGAATGTCTTACTTTAAGACGCTATGCAAAGAAAAGTTATATAAACGTCTTATAAAATATTTGTAAAGCATCTCGTAAGATAATTTTCTGTAACACATTTTTTGTATTTTCTGTAACACATTTATATTTCAATGTATAATTTGAAGTATAGAAAGCAAATTCTCCCTTAATTAATTTTCCTATATACATTTTTATTTTAAGTCAGAATTCTAATATTCCACGCCGAAATTTTCAATATTTATATAACGTAACTTCGCTGATCGATAGGATCGTAAAATTAACGTCATTGTCAAACTCGAAACTGTTTAATCTACTTTCAGCGTCAAGACCGAATCCGATGATAGACATCGAGCCGAAAAGGGAAACAGCTGTCCGGGTTGGTGAGAGTTTGCAGATTCTATGCAGAGCCCCACAACCGATTCGTGTTTGCCGTGTGGAAATACCTGGCGAGGGTAGCATAGTGCTGAACGAAGAACCGTCAGAAGACGGCATCGAGTATTTCGGCGAAGGTGTCAAGACTGGCCAGTGCGGTGTCCGTATCGCTAGAGTGAAGGAAGTACACGACGGCATCTTCAAATGCTCCCTGACGACTATCAATGCCCGACAAGAAGCAACCGCGTCTCTGAAAATCATCGTTGCGAGTAAGTCGTTGCCTCCTGTTTTAATTCTATGAGATTCCAGAGACGTAGAGACTGCAAAAATTTATTGTAAAAGACCTACAAGTTTACAGAAATACTTATACGTATCTTTCATCTTTTCATAGTCTTTTCTGCTCTAAAACATATAATTAAAAAAAAACTTTCTTGGAATTCTATAGCGATTCTAATTTTGAAAATGCGTTTATGTTAATATATATATATATATATATATATATATATATATATAATTGCTTTTTTTCTAAATTCAGTATTACGGTACTTAAAAGTAAATATAATGGGAATATTATCACATAGCGCAAAGTAATAAAATCAGAATACTTTTATAAAAGATTTATAGTAAAAAGAGAGAAAAACATCAATTGGAACAAGAAGTGAAAAAACTAACTAGCTTGTTTTCCAGTCGCTATAGCTGTATTCGAAAAGTAATTAATCTTCCTTAAGAAAATTGGTTACGGAGACTGAAATAGGTGCCCGGAGCGAAATTACTCTATTTAAGATAAACTCGATACCTAAAGATAAATTGCGAAATTCATGAATATCTTGAGAGAAATTGTTTTTTTTTTGCATTTTTAACGAAGAAACATAGAAAAAGATTAAATTCAAGTTTATCGCGATTCGGATGATAAAATAATAATATATATAATAAGTAAGAACGTAGATATTTGAGAATCGCCAGACAGAATTTAAAAAATATATAATAAGATATAAAATAGAAAAACACATCGATGTGTTATATCTCGATTTGTTTGATATGTACAATAAAGCGATCCAAAGAAATTTTTATTTTTATTTTTCAGGACCACCCAATAACCCGGATCTTCGCACGAATGCTGGATCTATTGGCAGAACTATCTACAGAAAAGGCGAAAAATTGGAAATTAGTTGCAGTGCACCGTCTGGACGACCAGCGGCAAATATCTCGTTGTTCCTCGGTTAGTATTATTCAATATTTCCAGAAGAAAGATCATTTTTTTACCGGACTTCACACATGTAGACTTCAACAAAAATTCACAAGAACTAAAATAAAGAAATTACTAAAGAAAACTTTAATTGGGATAATACAAAAGATCAATTATAATAATTTGATTTCAAGATTAAAACAAATAGAAAATTTAATTAAAAATATAAACAAATATTATAAAACAAGTAAATTGTAAAATTTCAAAGATCCTGTTTGCGTGTTTTTGAATTAACCAATACATGTTTATTAATAAAGAAATTATAAAGAAATAAAACAAAAATTTATAAATGTGTGTATTAATAAATGTGACAGAAAAATGAAATTGTTCTTGTTCTTAATATTTAGACGATGAGCCGATCGGCAACGATGATAGAACCGTCATCTACGACACAAATTTAGACGATAACTCTTTGGCCATGCAAAATGCTACGCGCAGTTTGGATTGGACTGACAATGGCAAAACGTTACGATGCGTGGCCAGTCACATAGCTCTTGATAGACCGAAGGAAACTACTATGCAACTCGAAATATACTGTAAGTTAATTTTATAATATAAAACATTTTCTCTCTTTTTTATTAATATAAGTTCTATAATTTTTTTTTAATTTAAATTTTATTTTCCTTGTAGTTGTGTCTCTTCTACGTTGCATCTTATTCTGTTTTAAAATTTAGAATCTTCTACCATGTCAATTTTTAATAGCTAAAATCTTTCTATATTCATATAATAATAGAATACAAAATGACAAATCAGTTTTTAAATTAAAGAATTTTAATGGACATTTTCTGAGATATTATTTTTTGTTGTAATTTTCACATATAAATAAATTTAAAAAGAATTGCATTATTTCTTTCTACATAGATCCACCTCAGCCACATGCAACGTTCGAACGATTCGGATACGTAATTGGCAGACAGGGAATTATCAATATTACCATTTATGCGAATCCTAGACCGGGATTCACATGGCAAGTGAACCAAGAGAAGATCAATGAAGGTCGTCCTGACGAGAGCAATCGATTGGAGACTTCAACTGCCGTCGACTTGGTAAGTTTTTTTTTCAAAAATTTATTCTCTTTTTTTCTTTAATTATTAAACATCTTTATTTAAGATTCAAATCGATAAATTTTAATTAAAGAAACATTTTGTCGTCTTATCGTGGTTTCTCGTAGCAAGTTGAAAGTTGAATTTATTACGTCAAAAACGATATTTTTTAAATAATTAATTTTCTTTTAAAAATTTTTTACAACTGTCAAAAAAGCAAGTCCGTTTTTAGCGACCACCACTCTCTTTAAAACGATCGTCGGATTAGCGCGTAGCAAATGGTGCATTTAACGATAATTAAAGAAAGTTTTGTCGTCTTATCGTGGTTTCTCGTAGCAAGTCGAAAGCTGAATTTATTACGTCAAAAACGATATTTTTTAAATAATTAATTTTCTTTTAAAAAATCCTTACAACTGTCAAAAAAGTCCGTTTTTAGCGAGCACCACTCTCTTTAAAACGATCGTCGGATTAGCGCGTTGCAAATAATGCATTTAACGATTGGATGAAATACCATAGTCGTAGAAAGCATATCGGCGGTTTGTTTAAGCTCGAGGGGAATTTCGATGACAGATAAAATGTAGAGGAAAGAAGCGCACTGGCCAAGAAATAATTGGAGTTGAAAGAAGAGAGAGTGCGAGGCCGGATTGGTGGATGCAAATGAAACAGAAATTCAATAGTGCGCCGCGACTCGGGCCTCGATTTACCGTTCGCCCGGGATGCATTCTCCATGCACCTGTGTGACAGCGCGCGCGGAGTACAACGCCGTAATGAAATTCCATTGAATTCAGACACAGCGCGGAATCGATCGGAACCGCGCGATCGGCCTCGAGCGGCAGAGGCGTTTGTTCCCCATCTATTGTTTCGTTAGCACAAGAAGCGGTTTGTTCGTCCCGTAATTAAGGCTTAAATGGATTTGCCGATCTTGCAACTTGCACTTTTTAATTAGTTCGGAGCGGCGAACAGTGGCGAACATTCGTTTCCCCGAATGTGCCTGAATCCTACTTTTCTTATCACACTTTTTGAATCCGATTTATTAAATCGGTTTAAGAGAAAATCTAGAGTAAAGTCTAAAGAGCTTCGCGAAACCTGGATATTTGCGAGATATGTCAAATTTAAAATTTCTTCTTCGTTCCTTAATGGACGAAATTTCTAAAATTTAAAGATAGAAAGCAAATGGTAAAATATGTCTCTACTTTCTTTCTCTTTCCTTCTCTTATATGTTTCTTCGAGTCTAATATTTATTTAAAATTCGAAATTTTCTCGTCATCGTGCGCCAGCTGTTCGTCGTAGCAAAAGATCGCAAAGTTAGCAAACTTCTGAGCGAAATCACGACTTCTGGGCAAGTTCACGATTTGAAGACGAAGGAGGTTCGAAGCGTTAATCGAGCGGCACGCGCGCAGCAAACCGGTCGAGTACATTCAATGATGCGGGCCATTCTTCGATTTAGAGAGCTAGAGAGAGAACTCTCAATGGCGTCCGATGATTTCGTCGGAACTCACGAATTCGGGCGCAAACTTTCAGAGCGAACAGCACGCTCGCGCGAGCATAACACTCTGGAACAACGCCAGCGTGTGCCAGAACCAATAAAAGCCGGCGTTACCGCCGCTATTCGGCCCCGGCTCGTATATGAATGGCTTCCAAATAGGCTGGTGGCTCTCTCACAAGTCACAACTTGCAGTAGATCGGTGAACGCCAAGCCGACCGACGAATACGAATCAGCTTCCACTCCGAGAACGCAATTACGGCGAGCCTCGGTCGAAAGAAAGGCGAAAGCTCGCGAAAAAGGCTCAGCATACCGCTTTCTTCCCTATAACAGCGCCCGAGAACAAGGCTCGACATCGAGAATTGTCGAATGGATTTTTCTTCGATTAGAGAAGTGCATAGGGATGTACGAAAGCAACAAAATGTTAATATTGTATAAACCGAGAAAAATTTTTTAAATGTGTCTGTGTTATTTTCCTAGAAAATATAATTGAATTAAGATTGAAGGATGGTTGATTAAAAAATTTAATCAATTTAATTGAAAAGAAAATTGAAACGTAAAGTTTAAGATGTATACGTAAAAATAAATACATTTTATGTGAAAATTATATATAACAGATATAAAAAATAGAAATGTGATTTTTTCGTGCTTTCGTAGCTAGCGCTTTAATTATCAATTTTGCCCCTTTGATATACAAAGATTACAAAGAGTGCGCGAAAACTCGCAGATTAATAGCAAAAGCTTCTACGAATAATTTATTAATAGACCTTCGTGTGCGCGCCCCGTCGACATTTTAAAGAGAGCTTAATTAAAGGGTTTAATTAATGAACGATACAGCGGAGGAAATTAAGAGCTTGACGGAGAGCTGAACGGATTGATGTACCACGATCGTAACACGAGGCAACATTTATAGGGTAAAGGAGCATGGAGCGTAATTCTGACGATCGACAGCGTTCAAAAATCCGACACGGAGAAGGAGTACAGGTTACTGGCGACCAACAACCAGGGATCGTACGAATATAATATCGTTTTGTCGACATCTTCGGAACCAGCGGGTGAGTTATTCCATAAATCCGATTTACGCAAGTTATTTTCTCTATTGAAGACGTTACACACCGTGCACTCTTGTACATATTAAAATATATTAGAGCACCCTGAATATCACACGATAAATGATAACGTACAAAAATGTGTGTGGCGTCTCTAATACAATATAAATATAATAATTAAAGGATCATTTTTTAATTCTCCTCATAATTTATATATAAACTCTCTATATGTGAACAAAATATAAATCGTCTTAAGTTATTAAAATGATTTAAGCGCATATGGAAAAGTTAGATAATATTTTTTATGTTTAAATATACCATTAGGGGTGTCTCCGATTTAATTACTTTTATGAACGTGAAAATAATTCTTTCTATAAAAAATTTAATGGAAATATTACTATCTCTCTTGTTTCAATAATTTTCGAAATAATAACAGTAAAATTATTAATTAAATTATTTACAACAACGTCTGTTTAAAAACATTTTTAATGAATTATGTCTTTTAAAAGTTCTACGTTTGAAAAACTTTTAAAAGGCATAATTCATTTAAAAATGTTTTAATGCGCAATGTCATTGCGAAACAAACAAATTTTACAAAATTATGAGAGACGCGTTTCGTGTGTATATATATATATATATATAAATACGTGTACATATAACTCTTACTCAATTGAATTATTATATTCGCAAGTTCCTTTTTACTTTTTATATATGGTAGCAAACAAACGATAAGCAACACGCGAGCAATCAATATAGCTCCACACGCTTTGTTCACACACACTTTTTTCCTTTGATTGCTTGAATCAACCGACGTTCACACTTGGCTGGTTCACCATTATCACGATCGTAATCATGCCACCGCGATCTCGCACGTAAAATCGCGACTATATCGATCGTCGTAATCGTCAGAGATGATCGCCACCGATCACACACGCGCGTTTTAGAAAATACGTTTCATCCATGTTCTTGTATGCCTAACAATATCGATCCTTCACCGCATGCTCACGCAGGAGCGTTCGGTCACTTCTATGGTAAGCTCTCCGAACACATGTACGCACTAGGTAATGTTATTTTTTCATATTATTATACGTAAGTAGTTTGTGTAGCAAACGCGGCGTTCCGTGCGCGGCAGATTTGATTTAAACTCCAGGGGGATGATCATGCCGAGAAATTAATAACCGTTATTTGGTTAAGAGCGTAATATACGTCGATCACGAGAGAACACGTTGACGTTGATCGAACGACGAGTAATTTACCAATTTCGACGGAACACAATTGCTTATAAACAATCTAGATTTCGTCGAAAATCGCACGAAATGCTGCGTAATTAAATATGCGTATATGTAGTGTTGCACTATACTTAATTGTTATTTTTATCAATGCACTTTTATACAGGATGCTCTCAATAATTTGCAACGAGAATATTGAGAAAATGTTCGACATTTTTACAAATTTTTCATTTTCAATATGTATTTTTGGAAAATTGTGTTCGGTAAAAGAGTTTATTTAAAAAATGTGCTTTTATCTCGGTTCATTTTTGAAAGTTTATATATATATATAATTCGCAAAATAATTTTTATAAAACATTCAAAATTTATTAACTTTCGAAATTATAAATATTATAAATTATTATTAGTAAATAAAAATTAAAGTTGTCAACATATCCTGTATAATGATGCAATTATTTATTTAATATTCAATAAATATTTGTGCACATTTTGTAATATATTTAGTAGGTTTCATACATTCATATCAATATCTTGGAAGTAATATATATTCAAATATTTTGAGAACAGAAAATTAAAAGAAATTAGAGTGTGTGTGTGTATTTTGTAGAAAAATATTTTCTGTTTAATAGCTCAAATAAACATATGCTTAATAATTTATTTATAATTTCTAGTGTTTTAAATTATATTACATAATACTTTAAGGAGGACTGGTTTTTCAATAATAGTTTGAATTTAGATCGAAGTTTGAACTATGCACACATATTTTGTGCAAAGTTTAAACTACTATTGAAAAATCGGCTCTAAATCACTTCAGTCTTGAATATTTTTTCTTGTGTGTAACATTCTTTTTTTTTTTTATTCCTACACTAGAAAATGATTGCTAATTATTTCAATCCAAGATATTGATATAAATATTAAAACTACGCTACAAAGAGAACTACAATAAAGAGAGATTTTTTTCACCCGATTTGCAGGTGTTGATTTGGATGCTGGATCTATCATTGGTATTGTCGTGGGCGTTCTGGTGCTCGTACTCATTATTTTCCTCGTAATCTTTGCACGCGCGACTGGTCGCTGGTGCTTTGCAGGTGAGTCAATTTGAAAAAATATATATATATATTTGATAAAAGAATCCTTTCTCTTTAGATTATATATGCCACGTCTTATATATTTATGTCAATTTCCCTATTTTTCTTTCGTTCCTCCTAATGATTTCGTTTCGCGAGAACGGTCGGAAACGCAAATACTGTAACCGAAAATACTGTGAAACTTGAGTAAAATACGTTGCTTGCGTAGGATGATATACTTCTTGGAATAGACACAAATCCCATTAAACAGTTATCGGGATATAATCAATTATACAGAAGAGATGAGCGAGTACTATGGCAGAGTAGGAAATTAAAACGAACTTTTTCCTACTTATGATTTTCACGAGAAATCAGTTTGTAATACACGGATGATAAGCTGAAAGAAAAAGATATATACATTTTTAAACGATACAATTTTTAAATATTCCTTACTTCAAATTAATAGTAAAAGATTTATATATTTTATTTTTATATTCTTAATCTAATTCTTCTTTTTACATTTCTCATTTTTCATTTGTGACTGCCAATTAAAAATTTTTTAAAAATCCATTAGTATATAAATATCTAAAATAAAATTGAAAAGATTTCTTGTGTCACATTAAATATTTAAATAATTAAATAGCATAATTGAATAGCATAATTGAATAGCATAATTGAATAGCATAATTGAATGTAGCAAATTACAGATTTTGTTATAAATAAGTATAAGTCGAAAAATTATAAAAATTTGTCGTTTCTATTTATATATCCAATATCTGCAATTTATTGTTAATTTCTAGTCTCGATCTAATTATTTAAATAAAATTGATCGCGCGCGCATGTTGTTCGTTTGACAGATGTGACGATTTCGATAAAAGAGAGACAATCTATCGTACGCGAACGTACGTAATGCATGGAGAAAATGTATTTCTGAAGCTTTACGTATAAATGACGGAGAGAAAGATTTCAACGTCTATTCGAGGAAAATATCAGAAACGGATAAAACGATAAACGCTCATCGACGATATAAAACTCGGAGTGCGATGAAACAGTGTTTATGTATATCACTTATCACCTTTCTTGTTGTGATTGTTGTTGTCGCTGTTGCCGTTATTTATTACTACATAGTTTATTACCATTGTTTTCGTGAACGTTATGCGTTACAATCGCGTGGAGCAGTGTCTGCAATATATACGATTAGCTTAAATCGAGGTAATTATCACAGCGGTAGCATAGCATCGCGCGTGCAGTAGAAGCGTATATATACGTATATATACTGGGTTTAATTAGTGCGCTCCAAAGAAACTGTAATGCGCTGTTACCGTTTATATATATATATATATATATATAAGTATTATATATAAGTACATATATATATACACATATATATATATACATGTATATGTGTATGTATATAAATAAATGTACCTTTTATCTGAACGTATATGCAAATATCTTATGTGTTGTGCCGCTACACTGATATAGGACAGCATGCAAGTCGGGCCAAGTAAAGAATACGGAGATACGTCAACGATTACCTTGCGATTCCGTACTCTAGGCATGACACTGTCCAGGGGTAAGTTACCTCAGGCAGGACGAAATACCCCCTCTCTCTTCATCCCTTCATCCCCTTTTTTTCTCTGAAATAATGCTCGTTCTCTCGTTCATCATCGACCCGTCCGCTCGTCACCACCTTTTTTTCTCAAGCAGAATCATTTTTATCAAGCAGACAACATATACACCCTCTCTCTCGCTCGCGCGCCATATCATCTTCAACGCCGGCTTATCAACGATCACGAGCCGTCTACTCGTTCGAGAGAAGTAGAGACTCTCCCCTTCAAATTTAATACACTTTGCGCTCTCGTTCCCCACGCTCTCGTCTTGCAGACCCTCGACATATTCTCGAATTTTTACGCCGCGCCATCATTTTTATTTGGCATGTGTCGATACGTAATCGCTTTATCGATTTATGGCTTGCGTTTTATATCGCCGATAAACATTCCCCGCTTAATCGATTACGCTTCTACCGCGTTCTCGCTTTCGTTGGCCAAGTTCGACGCTTAAAACGCGCACGATTTTTGCCCGTTTCTTCTCCGCGGCATTGTTTTACAGCGATTTTTAACGCGAACCATCTATATTTAAAGAGAGGAGACTTAGGAAGACGTATGTGATAAATACGATACCGTCAGGAAATAAGCCAAAAAATAGTTTTGATGGAGCATGTGTGAAAAACATCTTCCAGTAGAGAATGGTTTGAGAGTTCTTTTGACGCTCTTTAAACAATTTCTTTAACGTGAATTTTTCAATTTTGTATCATATTTTCGTGATTGATTTCTCTCTTTCTCTCATGCGCGGCCTAATTTACTATTTTTACGCGTGAAGTAATAGTTATTATATGAACTCATACATAGTATCCAGGATTCCAATGAAAACCGCAAAGACCGCAGAGTTTAGCAGTAAAACTTTTACGGCCAACACTGTTCCGAGCAATTAACGCCTAGGCGAAAAAATTGATTTCCCAATGATTTAGACCTCCGCGTAATTTATTTATAGAAATATATATTTCAATACTTTCATAAACCTCGAAGAATAAGAAAAATTACCATTTTTTTTTATATATCTTCATGAATTTTCGATAATTATTTCGTTGTCGCGTATAATACATATGAATAAAAATGTCATAAGCACAAAGGATAGGATTAATCGAAATGTATGCTCGTTTGTTCAAATTGGGAAGAATAATTTCCGTAATTTTGTTTCGGACGAAATTCAATTGTGTGCAGAAAAGTACGTATTTTTACAATTGCGATTAAATCGCATTTTAATTTTTATACGATGTTGAAATTTTGTTGTCATCGATGTCGACATCAATGATTGTGTAATTTTCTATAATTATGTCATCGAACTTTATTGCATGTCAATAATACCTGCTGCTCCGTAGCTGACCAACGATAATTTAAGCATATTTATATTGCTACGTGCTCGCAATCATCTTGTACGATTCTCCATTTACATTTACACTACGTGATTTCATTAGCATGTCGCTTACAATATCGAATCGGCGTAAAATCGTTCTTCACTTGTAATGCAAAAAAAGTCGTGCTATATCACGAAGGTGAATAATTAATCAATACGTATTAATATCGATTATCGCGCTATAACATCATGTTTGCAGATAATAGCGCTGCGAAATCTGATAAAAATGATAACGCCTGTAAATATAGACTCATGATTTTCACACAGGTATCGATTTAAAAATCGAATCATGCAAACACACTGTAAATCTCTAATAAGAATGGACAGGGGCATAACGTTTCTTTTCTTTTCTTTCTCGCAACAAGCAACGATGATAAGCAATCGGCAAAAAGGCAAGTGTGGTGAAATTATCCTGAGCAGAAACGATCGGTGATCCAATCGATATCAATAATTATAGCTTCGCGTGCTTTCTGACATTGCTCATCGCCGCGCGATTTCAACATTTTTTAATTACAATTGGAAATTGCGATTTTTTTCGTCTCCTTCCTCCTTGGACTCTGATCAAGCATGTTTGTCACCTCAGAATCCCTTCGCCGTTAATTTAATATATTTCAGCGCAGATTATAAATGTGTATTCTTTGCTAGTTGCTAATTTTTTAGCGTTGGGAAAAGCGACATCATGCTCTCGCTATTATTCGAATTTTATCTTGCTTGAATCGTGGTACGACGTTGAACTATGCTTGTGAATGTTACGACGATTTCTTTGATACATTCGTTAATTCATACATACTTTTTTTACATAACGCACGAGCGATGTAAATTGAATGTCTCGTCTCTCTTATAGTAGCGTGTAGATAATTAGATACAATAATACCTTTTACTCTTCGGACACGCACGCACATATTCGCGCACACGATGTTTACACTGTACATTTTCGATATGTTTTCAAAGTACTTGTTAGTAAAACACTCTCGATAACATGCAGCCGCGCTGCAAGTTGTTGCATTGATCGCGTAATGGATATTAAAACTTAACTTATAAATGTAGTCCATAAGAGAGTACGAATTCCACATAATAGTCTCTCGCTAATTGGAGAAACAAATATTGAATAATTCACCTAAAATTATAATTCTGACGCGCGAACTAATTAAAAGATTAACATGTCAATTTCTCATTCTACAAATAACAATTTAGCTTCGCTCCAATATCGACATGTTTTTTAACGAAATACATATAACTTATACATAGAAAAAGAAACCTTTGCATAAGAAAGTACCGCATATCTCTAACAATCAATTGACAACATACACACGGCATTTGTAATCGTAATGAGTGAATTCGCATTCATTAAAAAAAAAAAAAAGAGAAAAAATCCACACGCACATTTGCCTTGACCGATCGTGGCGTTGCTTGTTGCAGCGAGACGTCGCGGCGACGAGGAGACTGCGGGTGACGTCGGCGCCGGAAGTGAGGCGCACATCACGCCCGGCGACGAGGAAGACGAGGATCACGAGGACCCGCGTATCATCGACGAGAAAGTGCCGCAGGGGGGCCAAGAGAATCCGATACACGCGAGCACCGAATACGTGAACGGCCGTGCGGACGTCAAGAAGGACGAGAAGACGGACACGCCCGTTAAAAAAAAAAAAAAGAAAAAAAAAGAACAAAAAAGAGAGAAGGAAAGAGACCTTTTCTCTTCTCGCCTCGCTCTTTTCGTCCCTCTACCCTTTCCTTCGATACAGGGAAAAACCGAGCTGTCGCACTTCTCCACGCCACGCCGGATTCTTTAGCAGTAACGATCCAAGTTTCTCTCTGTGCTTTCCGTCTTTTTGTTTGTGAATAAAGCGCATGGACGTTTCCCGTTAAATGTGTGATCGAAAAGTGATGATCGTAAAGTGAGCGCGCGCGCGAGCACGATATGCGCTATTTATTTCCCATTTTCTCATTTATAGAGTAAGATAAAAAAATGTTAATCCTCTCGTTTTCCTCACACACAGTAATCGTGTGAACTACGTGTGTATTAAGAGTATATATAAGAGTGTACACGTAAACTCTAGAAAATTTATATAAATTTCTGCAAAACGACTTTGTCATGTAATTGACTTTGTTTGAATGTGATTCTCTGAAATGCCTAGTATAATTGTATAACAATTGTGGAATAGAAAAGAAAGAGGAAGGAATTTTAAAAGATTATATATATAAATATAAAAGAAGAATATATTATATAAAATTAAAAGAGATATGAAAGATATGTACTCCATTGTATCACTGTATTAATAATCACTGGGTACTGCATATAAATATAAGAGTATAAACATAAAAGTAATTTGAAAACGAGAGGATTAAAAACAGCATACATCACTTATCTCGATAATGCTAAGTTATTAATAATCTAAGTATATTTATTTTAGGAGTTATAAACAGAAAAATTTTTGAAATTAAGAATTTTCGTAACATAATATATTAGATAATAATAAAAATGACTAACTTTAAAACATTATCTTTCCATATAATTAAACTTTTTTATATTTTTTCTTAAGACTTTTTAGTACATTTTATTAAACATTAAATATTTTTTTAGAAGAGTCGCTTTTACAAATCGTAAAAGCTATTAGACTAAACATTATTTTAATTCTTATCTTAATTAAATAATTTCGATGATAAGTTTTTTGTATCTATTAAGGAATTGAAACTTGCCTTTAATATATAAATTTCTTCGTAATTTATGTCGCGCACGTTTCGCTAAATGTATCACGCTTAACAAACAAAATAATCGTGATATATATGTAGGTAACGATCATAAAAAGCGCGCGCGCCAAATCGATTGACAGCGAGAATTGTTATCGAAATTTCCTGGAAACGAATTTCTATTTCAATCGCGCGTCGCTTTGACATTTCCTTTGACGGTAAATCTTCAAAGCCTTCAAGTACGACCGTAGGTGTTCGCGTCGGAGAAGTTTGATTATCGATTCATCGACTATAATGCTCCGAATCTCCCTTCATCAATCGCCAATAAGAAAATTATTCGATAGATCCGATTCTTTCTCGATACGAGTACGTGTAAATAGAAATCGTGAACTCGGAGGCGAACTTATATGTATAATACTTTGAAGCAATTGATTGATTGATTATGCTGATTTTAAGAAATATTTATATATCTTTCATAATTTTAATTTTATTTCACGAATTTGAATTTTCTAACTATATTAATATAATTATTATAATGATTTATAACAGTGTCAAATATATTACTTTTAAGAATATTAATTCTTTTTAAGAAAAATAATGATCTGATGTAAGGATATTAATTTTTTTACGGATCTGTACGAATGTATCGAGAGATCTGGAGGTAGACGATCGAAAGAATTTTACCGTAATTCGCTCGCCATTGGACACATGTGGTTTTTATGCCGAACTTAGCGATGATTATAAAGTAGTTATTACAAATTTTGCGGGGGATGTACCATTCTCGAAGAGATGATAGGTATCCTCACGATAACCCGGACAAATCAAATTGTGCAGCCGAAACTTTTTATGTATAAAAAAAAAAACATATATACACATCTATACATACGAAAACATACATTTGTTACGCGCGACGAGACATTACGCATGTACGCGTTTACGTTTCCTAAAAGTCACGAAAATATTCGTTATGTGCAAGAAACAACGCGTGTGTGCGTATCATTAAGATAAAAAAACACATTCCACGCAAGATATTTCCATTTAATATACACTAGAAATGTTTTCGTAAACGTGAATCTTTATAAAACGTGTCCATTACACTGTGATCGTGCATCTTTTTTTTGTTCTTTTCGTGAAATGTAAAAATAACGCGTTTTCTGCGTTGATTCTAAAGAATAGCCGAAGTTCGAAATAAAAGTTTTTGTACCCGAACACATATTTATAACGATGCGCACTCTCATTTTAACGACACGAAATTTCTGCCATGTCACGCAACGAAGAGTTCTAGATTTTAATGTATATCTTACAATTAGACACGAAACGAGCATACAAGCGAACAATAGAAACGGTCGCCAGATATATTCAGAGAATTTTTATGAAATTTCGAAATCGAAAGTGCGATCGTGTCTTTAACATTATTAGGCAGGACTATTATTATTCCATGCCATTTGTACTGTAACATTTTTACAAATATAACATTCCTGACGCGTGTTTTACTTAAATGCATTTTAATAAAGGAAGAGTTTTTGTAAGTTACTGTATACACATAGTATAATAAGATCATTGCGTAAGCATACGGAATGTTGCGTAAGTTTTGAAATAGGATTGTATATTATTTATTCAATTCTAATGTATTTAAGGAATATATATATGTAGACAGTAAAATCTATCAATTTATCAAAGAGATATATCAAAATGATTAGTTTGAAAATAATACATGCAGAATTTCAATTCAAGTTTAATTAAGCAATCGACAAGTTTATCAATTTTATTGTGTCTAATTTTTTTTCCCTTTGAGTTACGCAACATCCTGTATATAATTATAGCGATTAAACTAATGACGATCTAATGAGTATGCGATTTTATAAAATATGAATTCCATTTATAGAATCTCATTTATGAAACAATATTATATAACAATTGCGTTTTATTAAAAAAAAACGATTTTATATATGATATTTTATTAATGTGTAGTAATATGCGTTCGCACTTGACCGTGAAATGCACGATTTGAATCAAGTATACTCGTCAAACCGAGATTTGATATATTCTTACGATATTCAATAAATTATATTATACGTCACAATACTGTATATCAATCGGCAGAATTCGTTGTAATTTTTCATTCTACATGTTTTCTATGATATATGTATATGACTATTTATAAGAGCGACGTTTGCGATTATATGCAATTTTTATATAAAAAAAAAACGTATTTCAGTTTCAGTAAATTAAACTTTTTTCAACGACACGCTATATTTTATTTGTTGGATGGTGAATGTAATTAATACGTTTGAGATATAAGGGCAACTGAATCATATCTAAGGAATGATACGAGTTTATAAGTACAATTTCGAAAATCAAATTTTCAAGACTTTGTCATTATTAAAGATGCAAAAGATATTACATAGCACGTAAATTATTTGCATCGTATTAAATGTATCGCACTATGTACAGTGCATTAAATATATTTCCCACCCAACACACCTTACAGAATTATTAAAAGACTTGCATCAAGTTTTAAGATGAAATTTTTTGATAGATTTTTAATAAGTATTTTTTTGCTAATATTTAAATTATTGTACAATTACACGTAGTTTGGCAAAATTTTTAAAAACTTTTGATATAAATTAAGATCTTGAAATGTAAATTTATAACAAAATTTTCATTATTAATTAACATAAAAACGATTTTATTTAATGGAGAGCTTTATTCTCTCAGAATCTCTTTTGTTAAAAAACGCGCTTTTAAGTAAACTTTTTGCTAAAAAAAATATTGTCATTTACACTAGATAGAATAACACTCTTACGTAGTTTGATGCAGATCTTACAGAGAAACATTCTATATGCATTTACTCACACCGGATATACCTTTTACGAGGCATATTAATAATATTGCGAATGACTCGTTTAAAGTCAACTTCGTATAAATTTTTCTCGTTGCCTTTGACAATAAGTGTTGTTTGTATTTTTGTACACAGATGACTTTTCTTTAGTTAATCACTAATTCTAAAATACTTGCTTCATGAGCGCAAATTATTCACATGACACACACACACACACACACACACACCCCGCATATACTGAACGTAGGTCTCGTCGGCATCGCGTAAAAATTGAATAAGAACCAAAGGATGAATGTAAAATTCATCGACGATACATTATCGAATTCGGCACGTACGCTCCTTCACTGTTTTTTCCGGATGCATTCGTGTTTTCATTTACAAGAAAAGGGCCGTGCTGAGACCGACGAGATCATCGAGGTTTTCATCGGAGATAGGGGGAGAAAGGACGTGTAGTGATTATTAAGCAGAATTATGATAAAAAAAATCGATCGCGATCTGAACGAATTTCAATGAAGGAGAACGCCGATGCAGCTCGTCGGTCGACGGTCGAATCTCTGCTGTTGTACATACTAAATATATATAAATATAAAGATATATATAAATATATATAAAATGGTACACGAAGAAAACGGTACCCCAGATATATATATTCTGAGTCGGAAAGCACTTGGTTTGCAAGTATTCGCGAATGCCGATCGAGTGAGTGACTCACTTATTCACTTGCACTCCAATTGCTGAATCGACCTGTCGTTATTCATGAACTTTTTTTAGAATGAAAGATATTATCGAACGGAAAGAAAATGTGTGAAGTTACTTAAAGCAAGTTGATAAAACTCTGAAAAACGGATGGAAAAAAATGAAATGTGCGAGGAGGCGTGTAACAGAAAAGTAAGAGAAAAAACGATTAGATATATTGGTATCTTAGAAACTAGAACGATCAATGTCATTTTTTTTATATATTACAACTTACATATCCGAACATGGACGAGTTTTTGTTACGACTCGCAAAACGAAAGAAATTTTACGTTCAATTACTAAATTTATTTCTCTACCACGTGTCTTCTCTTTTCGGTTACATTGGAAGTTCGTCCTTTTATTTTTCTTTATTTCTTTTCTAGTTGCATGCATATTTAAATATGCTGAAAGTTTCTTTTATTATTTTTCCAACCTTCCTTCCAGCATTATTGGAAGCGAAAGAAAGAAAAGATAACATTGACAAAGACAGATAACATTGATATCGATTATTCTATTTTCGAGATACTGGCATATGCAGCTAAAAAATTGCCAACTGAAAATTGCCTCCATTTACGAGGCTGACACATTGTTTGCGCTGTCACAGAAAGGCTATCTCGCATCAGTTTTCAATCCGAATATCGGAGATCTATAAATATACATAATATATACATATATAGAAAGAATATATATACATATGTATATGTGTATAATTTATACACATATATATATATATATATATATGTATTATATATGAATAATATATATTATGTACATTATATGCCAGAATATGTTAATATATGTAATAGAGAGAGCCTAAAAACACAGGGAAAGGGGAAATCGCGCGTTTACCTAAAGAAAAGAAATAAAGTAGATATGCGGTATCCTCTGCATATTCTTACGCATCGCGACGATTTTGTTGTAGCGAGCGAATAAGAACAGCAGCGATCCGAATTTTTTATATACAATATAAGAAATAATATATATATATATATATATATGTGGTCACATCTGATTTTTAAATGTTTCACAATATTCTATAAGAAATGAGAGAGATCACACACCATTTCCAGAAGGAAACTATACAAAGAGAGAACTGATTAAAATAAACATTACAATTTTCTGTCTTACAATTAGACTAAGTATATACATGAGATTCTCACAGAGCTATTCTCGGGAAGTAAAACGTACGATTAAATGACCATCGAGATCTTCTTTCGACTACTTATCGGAAACTTTTACTAACCGAAAATTACTCTCGGATAAAATTGCCAAGCATATAGTAACAGTGAATACGATCAGAGGATAATATCGGAATTTAAATTAATATTTTAAAAGTGATATGATATTCTAGGATTTTATCGAAAAATTTCTTGTCGTTTTTGGTGTTTGCATTATTTTTCATTGATTCGAAAAATATTTTCGGGTCTCAAAAAAAGAGAATAATCAAAATTATCAATGAAATATTAAAAAAAAATGTTTACTATATTTTTTGTATAAATAAAAAATGCTTATTTCTTAGTCTCGACTTTTTTTGTAAATTTCAGATTTTAATTCATCAGTTTTATTAAAAGTAACCGCTGTTACTATCCTTAGGGCTATTGTAATAAATATTTCAATGACTTTCACGAGACTATTGTAAGCTGGCTCGAACAGATCTAGAAATACATAGCAAGAACAACGTCAAAGATCACTGCCAAAATATAAATCGATATATAGGATTTTTTCTATCTTATTTACAAAAATGCCATAAGAGAATACCATGTACATCCTTCATCTTAATCTGTAAGTTATGTATTAACATGTTTCTATTTGATAAGAGGACGATTACCATAAATAAGATCTGCGCTTTCTTAAATAATATCGATGTTTACAAAGTGCGTGACAAGTATCGTCGTAGATTGTGATTTATTGCGTTGTTGATTT